TGCTGAGGTTTGGTGTTCTCTCCTGCAGGTTTGCCCCAGCCTTCTTGACTTTCAGAGCCTTTCAGTTCTGTAAAAGTGTCTTGCTAAGTTATGCCAAGACAAATACCAGCAGAACTGTATCCATGCTAGGAAATTGCACCAGTGTACCTATAAACTGAGATAGTTAAATCAGCACTGTGTGTAGACATAAGTACTTTGCTGGATTTTAGTCAAAACACTTTAAAAGTAATGTTAAATTTTGTTTTTGTGCCAGCTGTGGGCCAAACTGAGCCACCTGTGTTCATATTCTATGCTTAGCCATTAGTACATTTCAAGTATATTCAAAATTTAAGACAAGAGAAAGTCCCACTGAAGTAATTTAAAACTTAAGGATATGCATCTGCTTAACCTGTTTCCCARTTCAGGAGGAACTTAACCATGTTCTTAGATTTCTACACCAACGTTTYATGTTGAATAACTACCTTTCTTTTCTAAAATGGCAGTCAAGAAATTCTAATTTTGAATGTAATARGAAAATTCCTAGTTTCATTCAGCCAAAGATAATTGCTGTTTGGAGAGCTTTGCATGCTCACAGTAAGAAAAGTATGTTTATAYAAGGAAAAAATATACCTCTTTAAATTAGTACAACCTACAACACAGTTTTATTTTTATTAACATGTATGCTGTAATGCTAAAAGTTATTATATGTTTGACTCAACCCAATAATCACACAATGGAAGRGATATTCAAACAAGATCTTGAATTAATCTTTGCATTGGGAAGATTAATTAGCCAGAAGGTTATTTCTCACCATTCTTCAGGGCAAAATATATCATTTACTCCCAAGTTACAGCCTCTTTACCTTGCCAGAGCACTTTAAAATAGTTTTGAAATTTCTTTTTTGAGGAGCAAGGCAATAAATTATTCCCAAGGACATGTTAGATAGTATAAATTCTGCCAGTAGAGCTACTTCAAAAGGTATGAGCCCACAGCTGACTCTTGCTGGGCCACAAGAATTCCAGTGATTATCCATTTCAGTCAATTCCACTGGAGGAGAATCCCCCTTGCATCCACTCAGGTGAGCTGCTCTGGCCACACAGGTTACTGGTCCTCTGCCAAATCTGATAGATTTCCATCCAATGCTTCAGGATCATCTTCATGCCCCTTCTTCATCTCATGTTTTGTGTTTGAATGATTCTGTTGGAGATGCTAATTAAGCCTGTAGAATCTGTTTTGAGACACGCCATTAAATACTTTTTCCATATAATGCGCTTATACCTTTTCTGTGCGWAAAGGGCATCCAAGAATCTTCAGAAGGGAGGGCTTTATGAAATCAGCTTCTTACTAAATCATTCAATTTCATGGTCCAAGCTCTTTGGTAGGCTCTTGGGAGTGATATTTGTGTGGTACCAAAGGTATTCATGTTGCTGTATTTTCATCTATGTAGCCTGGATGCCTCAAAACTTGCTTTTTAGGTGTGCTGGAATTTGATTCTTGCTGTAGTATGTGCTTACACACATCTCTGTGAGATTTTTCCCCTTTCTATACAAAAGGCAAAACAACTTTTCAATCTCTTTTTTCCTTTCCCACAGCTCTGTTCTTCACTGGGGACATGATAACATATTTAAGTAATGCCCAACATGGCATTTTAACGTTAATCCTTAATGTTCTTTTATTGAAATGTGTAAACCTGTGTATTTTTCACTGTCTCTTACACCATTCTAATTTCTTTTACTCTGTTAAATTCAGAYGTAATTGAGGATGGAAAAATATATTTCAGAATTACACCTGCAGCATGTAGTATTAGTATGACTTTTTCATGGCATGACAGTGATGTTTCTACAATCTATACATATTGATTTAGGCTGATAATAAACAATTTGATTAGGCTCTATCTATAGGCTGTCATTTCAATCACTGTCACTGTTCCAATAGAGTGGAAGGCAGATAGCAGACACATATGGCAAGATTTCTCAAAATAAAAACTCTGGCCTGATTAGAGCCCTAGGTTCAGTGAATTGGACAAGACAGCTCAGCTGCCAGGTTATTAACTCCCTCAGAAAATACTCTGCCTTTTCCCTGGGGCCAGCCTGAATATTCTGATCTGGATCGATAAGCAATCTCCGGTGTGTACAAAATGCCAGCTAGAATCATTTGTCTCAGTGCAGTCTCCTTACAAAGGATAAAACACCTGCAGTATATGGCCTTCTCTCCCTCCTCCCCCACCTTCCCCTTTTTAACTAATGACCCACAAAGAAGGAAGAAGTAACTGAATCTGTTCCATCATCAGGAAGGCTCTCTCAGGTTTGTTTTAATGATCACAATGGCTACCTTTCAATCTTACAAAAATTATATCAGTCATGGTTTCCCTGTGGCATGTTTATGTAAGTAATGTGAACCACAATGTAATGACAAGTGTACAGATGTCATTGTAAGAGGGCCCTTGGCAAGAAGATATCTCAGGATGTCAGAATTTTAATAAACCGTGGGCTGCTGGTAGGGTTCTCTTTGGTGGTTGTCTTTTATATTTGTAACGTGTGCTGTGATCTGTTGCTTGGCCCTGAGATTTTTCAAGAGTGTTTAGCAACAAAGGATATTTTACAATTGATTGGAACAGAGTCATTATTTTCTGGAGTGGTGGTGTTTTCCCAATCCATTACATATCTGTGGTTTTGTTTGTAGCAGTGGTGGATTGTAGCCATGTAACTTGTACTTTCTTTAGATGCCAAAAAGGAATTTTTATCTGAATGAATTCAGAACCTTTCAAAGCTTTTGGATGTGTTTTTCACATGTTGACCTATTAATAAGCCACCCTTGACTCCAATTAAAATCAAGTATCTGCAAAGTATGAGAAGATCCCCAAAGCTCCAAGTTTCTGTCCTTCATTGGTTATTTATTACACTTGGAGTCGCAGGAAAGAACGTCCTATTGCCTAACAAGTCAGTAGTTTCATATGTCCCATGTTGTCATGAAACAAAAGCTGAATCTCCTCAGCAATCTACATGGAATTTATTGAGCAAGTTCTGACACTAAATACCTGTTTCTGAATATGGATTAGGAATGGAGACCAGTTTTGATTTATTTTTCCAGGCTACAGAATTAGCTCCTCCTCCACCTGTGAGTGACAGCATCATTCTGACCTCAGTTTATGTAACTGTTTGTGTCTCTATGCCTATGGGAAAATTACCTTGAGTTAATGTAAACTGAAGATCCAYGCCTAGTTAAAGAATTGGGGTTTTTTTTTTTGTCGTGTTTGGTTATGACAAATTATAAAAAAGCATTTTATGTTTGTACTGCCATCACTTGGAAAAGGAAGGTTTGCATTTACTCTCTGTCCTTCTTTGCTGCATGAGGTGCCTCGTCCTCATAATGTCGAGAAATCAGAATTTTGCCCTCCAGAACACTTCCTTCATGTTTACTATCCAATACCTCGSAACCAAAGATGCTTTTTAAAAAAGAACAATGTAAGGAACAGCTTCAGTGAATTGATTTCTGAATGTAGAAAACACATTTCCTATCAAGACACTTATTAGAATGTTTATCTCAGAGAAAATGCACACAGTTTATATGAAAAGCTGATGTTATGTTAWTTCCCATTATTATATACAGATGATATTGAGGAAGATGGAACAAAGTGCCTTTAAACCAAAGCTGATGACATTTTTTTTTTCTCGTTTGCTACAGTTTTATTGTAGTGAAATATGTTCATTTTAGCAGTGGAAAACTGCCCTAAATAGGCAGCATAAGAGCAATAAGATGTCACATTGCAGAGCACAATTTAAAAATGATGTGCTCTAGAAGTAAGGCTTTTAGACATTTTGGTTTATGTATTAAAACTTCCCACAAATTTGATTGAGAATGAGCCTTTGATGGATATTTGCTGCAGTTATGCTGCATTAGACTCGATTTATCCACCACCTCTCATTGTTGCTATTGATTGATTTTTAAATTAGATGAAGGCAATCAGTAAATACCACCCAATCAAGTCCTAAAAACATACAGGAGATTAGACARTTTAGGGTAATCAATGAAAATATTCTGTGATTTGCTACCACTCAATTTTGACCATAAATTACAACCATAACTTGCAAGTTAGTAAGCCATAAAACAAGTGGATGTGACAAGAAAAACTATAAGAAATGAATTAAGGAGATGAAGAGGAACCACTAGTGTTATCATTTAATGAGACAAAATTACTCTTTATACATATCTTGCATTTCTAGTTGAGTCTTGCCAACAGTACTGGAGTACAAGGGCACTARCACTACTCTCATTTTTCTACGGTTTTGGGTTTTTCACAAAACTGTTCTTTTGTGTAACAAATCAGTTTGAACAATAACAAATCTACCTAATTTTGTTGCAGCAAATAAATTAATGTAATTTTAGGTTTAAAGCTTGCTGCTTGCTGAAACCCCTCACCTTCATCACAGGCATTTTCTAAGACTAATTTCAAAGTCACACTTCTACATGGTGTTATATTCTACAGACTTTAAAATGTAGCAAAAATTTAATGATATTTTAGTCCAACACTTTGAAGAAGCTGTGCTAATACAATGTCTCTGTGATACATGTCACCCATTTTCTATATTCTCACTAGGGACTAATGAGAATACATACCTTAAAAAAATCTGTTTTAAAGCTTATTTACTGGTTGTAAATAGGTTTCCACATTTTTCCTATTTATCAACTTCASTATCTGTTTGGAATTTCTAGCCAGTATGTATCTGGTTCTAGGCTGAAAAGCTGCTTATAAATATATAAATAACTATTAACAGCTATAGGCTATATTGGTGTAAATTGGTGGAATATAGCAAATATTATCCTAAATCTGCTCCCTTAATAAAGTAGTGCAGATGTGATATTGCTGAGCAACATGGAAAATTCTTCCTGGTTAATGCCTTTATGATCCTCTTTAGAACAAGGAAGAATATTTGTAACAGGAATACAGAATAATTTGGTGGAGTGTTCATAGAAAAGAATGAAATTAAGATTTTTTTTCTGTATTAAACAGAAATCTGAGAATCTGAAAATTGCATGGGACACCTTGAGTGCTGATGRGATTATAACAGAGGACAGAAAGAACACTCTCACTGCACTCACACCCTCTGCAATACAAAAGTGACTTTGTAGAGCTTGATGGTAGAGCAATTCCTTTAATAGGTAAGTGCAAAAAGTRCAGGTCAGATAAATATTGAAAATATTTGGATTTATATTTGCCATGATTTGTTTAATTCCCAGTAAGGGCAGATTTCATGATGCAGCAAAGAAAGCAAAACCCCCAGAGTCAGAAGAAAGAGTTGGTGGTGCTGCACGAAAGATGAGTCAGCGAATTCTGGCTCTGTGTCAGTAGGTGGACCCTGTGTGAGGTGATCTGCAATAAGGACTTCATGCAAGGATTTCRTGCAGAAATTCCAAATTCTTGTCATTTCCTTCAGCCAAGGTTTTAGAATCAGGATTTACTGTTCTGTAAATTATACTGTCTGTAGAACAGCATAAGAGAATAAGTCCATGTAAGCGCTGGTTCCCTTACAAAAACCTCTTTCTCTCTGTCAAAAACAATCCCCACCTGAATTCAGAATTTAACATTGGAAAATGTCCAGGTCTGGTTTTTCACGTGTTCTGTGTTGTTAAATACATCTGTCTAAGGCAATCCAGTYTGGAGAACTATGTGAATTCCTCACAGAATACAAATAGAATATTCCTCATAGAATACTATCCCAGCTTACTAAATGTTCCTTTTTAAAATATCATTGAAATGGACTTTTATTTAACTCCTGCATTTTATCAGTTTATACATGCTTATAAGATTTTAAGGAAGAAGTAAATTCAGTGCTAGTAATGCCTTTTCTTCCTTCCACATAACTTTGGTACTAGAGGAATCTTCTGTCTTACATCATTGCCATGATTTCTAATAAGTATATACAGTAAGACTGGAAGACACATAGTTCTCAAAAATAATATTCCTCACTCTATAAGTAACATTATTTCTGAAATCTGAGATTTTTAGTTTAATTTGAAAACTCCTTTCAAAAATGCACTACCAGCTTATTTCCAAAAGATTCTGGATGTGATTGAACCTGTGTTAGAAATTTGCAAGATACASAGTTAAATTGTGAAGGCAGGAAATGAAACAGCTCAGAATCTAAATGAACTCTGGAGCATTTGCATTCTCATATTTAAATATTTGCCTGAATCACATGTGAGCTATGGCTTTTCACTCATTGGAATTTTTTGCATTCTCTCTAAATAATAGTGCTACAAGAAATCAAGGTTTATATTATTTCAATATATGAACATTTTGTGTTCAATATCATGTTTGTGTGAGTTAAAGAACATACAAAACCTCAATAACCTCTAGTAAGGAGGATAGGAATGGGAGAGAAAAAAGGAAACCCCTGACTTACAACAAAGACAGGGACCTACTTGCAGTTCCTGATGGACTGATGCAATACAATGAAGCTGGTGTATTCAATATAACTTCTAGAATAATTGCCTGGGAGGTAACCAGAAGAAGTACATTTTACTTTATCATGGTACATAAATAAAAGGACAGACTAATTAATCATATAGCTTACTAAAAGTGCTTTTTATTTTGCCATTTAGTATGCCAGAAAGATCATTTTCTTTAATGTATATACCCAGTATTAACATGATTTAATCCATCATGTTCTGTATTATGAAATTACTTTGTTTTACTCCCTGATCCAGCTGAAGATCATTAACCCACACTATTTTCTAAGTCATACATCATTTGAGTGTATTACCTCATATAGCAAAAAAGCTACTTCCTCGGTTATACWCTCCAACTAAGAAATCATTTTTTCTGGATGCTGCTGACAAGTAGAGCTGTTTTCATTAGAAAGCAGATGGTTCACGATTTCGATTCTGTTTTACCTTCACATTTGCTCCAGCTCAGAGTTCCCTGCTGCCAGTTACCTCATTACCTCTCACCACATCCATGCCCTATATCCCTGACCTATCCATAAAATGTGCTAAACAAGCRACTGCTTTGCCTTCCCCCAAGACAATCTCTCTTTGCTCCACATCCTCGCTTGCTGGAAGTCAGTCTTCAAAAAGCAGCGAGAGTGAAGCCAATCATGTGAGCAGTAGCTTCAGCTCCCACTGATCTGCAGGTGTTTGTTAGCTGAGGGTGCCAAAGGTGGAATTTACACATTCAGATTTTGAGCTTGGACGTGAAGTCATACCCCTGATGAATTTGCCTCACAGAGCTTTAAGGCAGAATCTGGTCTTCTGTYATTTATTGTAGTTTGCAGTTTTGATGTTTATGACAGTGGTATTTCCACTGTTGTGTTCTCTGAGTCTGTAGGATGTGTGTTCTCTGTGGGCTGCCCTGGGTGCCTGGTGTCTATAAACCATGGTCTGCAATGTCAATTAAAGGTGTGCAGGATAGAGTAATGGGTTCTTTCGAGTCAAAATGAAGACTGAATAGTTCCTGGACATATGTATTGGTATTTTCACAGTAAAAAAGAATAAATGGTGCTTTAAAATAGAACACTTGAAGGAACAGAAGTAACACCTGTTAAATTACAGGCTGCTTTCAGTTGTCTCTAAGCTTTTGCCTTGAGAAGTGCTTCCATTCTAGTTAGGCAAGGAGACTAAATGCTTTCATTGCTTTAATAGAAAGCCAATTATTAGGGATTAAATCCTTGGAGGTAAACCCATTGGTACATACCTTCAGCTTCCCCACACTATATGTTTTGGTTTTGATCATTCTATGTTGAGGATAATACTCAAACATTGCAGTAATACAGTCTACCTGCTTTGTGTAGTTTTTTCTGGTTTCTATGATATCCATCACAAACTCTATTTTTATTATATCTTCATGAAGTTTTCAGGGGAAAGGTTTCACCTTTTTTTTTTTGCACATCAAAGCTCATGTCAAATTTACCTTTTATTACTACCTCTTACACTTGCCATGTGTAAAGATGTTATCTTTTTTATTCACACTGAAAACTAATACAGAGCTTGGCAGGAATAAAAGTAGAGTATTGGGAGGGGTATTTGATTTTGTTAATTTGAAGGACAATGTGTTCACTAATCTCAAAGTGCTTCATAGGTGGGATTGATTTAAAACTATGATCTTTGTAGAGTTTTCACTGAAACTGAAGGAAGAATAAAGGCCTATGGTGAACATGTTGACAAAATTCAAGGAAAAGATCATAGATTTGGAATTGTTCCAAACATATATGAACACCAAGGAAAATGTTTAGTTATACTTTAATAAACCACTGTACAAAGAGTTCTGAATGAGCTGGGGAGAAACATAAATCTACAATATTAAACAAAGCCAAAGCTGAAGGTCAGCCTGCAGTTAATAACCATGCTCAGTTACACTGTTTTTATGATGAYACAATATTTAAGCTACTGAGCTTGGCACCACAAATAGCCATGCACGTTGTGCAGAGTGAAGAATATGGGATTGGTTGATATGGATTTCTACCTGTCTGTTTATAAGATCCATGGATTCTGGTCTAGTCTCAGTTGAATGCAGCCTCAGCACCCAGCCTGAATAAACCTCACAGCCATAATTCAGCTGCAAATAAAATGGAGCAAAAATAGGAGGTGCAGGTGCTGCTGCTTGCACATTGTGAGCCAGAAACTGAAAAAGGTAAGGCAGAGGCAGATTCTCTTCTGCAGGAGGAGCTTGGTGCAGCTCCATTGGGGCTTTACAGGCAGTGCCTTTACACAGTGAAGTCTTTGCTGCAGAGCTTTCAGCTCCTCTTGGTGTGGACAAGATTGCCAAAGCAATGAGAAGTCTGCACAGTCCTTTGGAGAGCCTGGATTATCCCACACTGAAGTATGTGCAGTGTCAGAACTTACTCCAGTAAATGGAGAAAAGATGGACTTTTTGGTTTATGCCTCTCAGTGCTCCACAGAATGGTGTTTAGCATTGATATCACCCAAGCCAATTTTTTTTTCTGCTCAACAAAGCATTTTGAAACTACTAAACTGTTGATGAAAGCAATTATCAAAGCTGAAAAAGGATAAAGCAACAAAAGAGTAATACTGTGAACTGTTGATACAAAACTTCAACATAAATAACTTAGTGGGCTTTGCTCTAACACTTGTGAACTTACTTGATATACACATAAGTTTTTTCTAACCTTTATTTTATCCCTACCTGACTGCTGACAGTATAATCACAAAACTTTTTAAAGTACCATAGTATGGTAAAGCAATTCCAAACAAAACAAATGAGAGGCCATGGGAAATTATAGCATAGGCCCTTGACAAGCCAAAATAGAAAACTGTAAAGTACACCAGGTGTCATTCTAGGATTTGTGTGTGTGACTGTACAGAGTGTACTGACACTCCTGATGTTCATATAAATCACACAGACAAACTCCACCTGGTATTCTATGGGAATAAGTTAAGTATTCAAAATTATATCAAAGACAGTTAAAAATGTAAACCATTAAAATGTGATATTATAGAATAGCAATTTATTTACAAAAATGTCATTTGCAGTTTTGAACACTGTTTAACTTCCATGCTAGTTTTGCTGTTTTCAATAACAAATTGACAATTTCAAATTCATAATGAGGAATGAAATAAATGAGAGGGTACTGAGGGTGAGTCATTCATTAATCATAAGCAAAACAGGGACAAAATCAAGGACACAGGAGCACAAACTGTAAAAGAAATAGATTGCATAATCTTTGTATTTAATATTAACTACATTATGTTTTTCACATGAGTTCTGAGAAGTTGAGCTTTTTATGTTTACATGAAACTAATCCAAGATAAATTTTATTTCCCAATATTATTTTATCCTAGAGGTTGCCCTCTTTTTAATAAAGTAGAAAACAACGAATTCTAGCTTATCACATTGTTACAAAGATTTAGTAGAAGGGTTAGCAGGAACATTGAAGCCTACTGAAACTTTTGATTTAGGATATTCCACTTTTGACTAGAATATACCAAACCCTTCTTGTTTGTCATGGCAGATCTCCCATTAAGACATAAATTTACCTGGAATTAGTTGTTTTGGCCAAAATAAGTTATTATTCATATTCATCTGTCAGARAAGGACAGAACAAGAACTAAGATTCAAACCATTCTGTCTTTATCCTTCAAGAGTCCAATCCACTGCGATTACACAATGTGCAACAAGGTTGTTTACAGTTTGCAGGTGATGT